GGTGTTGTTTTTTTTTTTTTTTTTTTTTTTTTTTTTTTTTTTAATTCCTTCCATCTATGTTTCAGATTCATTTACCAAGTGGCAGATACATGAATGGAAGATCAAAGCCATGTTAACTTGTTACTGTAGCCCAGGGATAGGGATTTTGTTTGGCACCTGTGCCTCAGGACAAACAGCAGGGAAGTGACCAGGCTGTGCCATCACAACAAGGATCAGGCCCCTAACAGCTCCCCTGCCATCCCTTCCTGGAACACCAACTTCTTACAAGTTGAAGCTGAGGGTGTTTTTTGCCACTCTGCCCAAAAACGTTGCTGACCCCTGCTATAGTCAAAATGTCCTAAAAGCCTGAATCTAAAAACTGCTCATGTTCATGGCAGAAGTTATGAGAAACAGCATGCTCTCATCTAAGAGTTTCCTTATATAGTAGCATGTGAATGTGAAGATCACTGAGTTAGAAACATTTCCTAACCTCTAAAACAGCAATTGGCAACCTTTTCAGGTTGGGGCCTGGAACGACCCAGTCTGGGTCACAGATGTGTGGGCAGTAGGACCTGGCTGCCACTTTTCTCCATGACAGCCCAGGGAGTACAACTACTACCAAAGCCTACCACCACCATATGCAGAATAAGTCACATGTCTCAGTGCCAGATCCAGTAGCTTTAATGGCTAATCCAGTTAGGCTCTGGAGAGGCGGGAGATGCGTGGGTGAAAGCCTGCTGCATCCCCGCTCTCCCGAAGCTCCCCAGAGACCCCCCAGAAGCCCTGGAGCCCCCCCGCTGACCCCCAACACAGCCAGAGGTAAGCAGGGCCCGTGGTAGGAGGGGGTTAACCCGTTAGTGAGTAGGAGATGGCAGCTGAGTGGAGCCAGGCCAGGTCTTGCCCCGCCCAGGCCCCTACTTGGCCCAGCCCCCCAGGGAGAGAGGTGGGGGGGTACTTACCAGTTCCCTTCCAGTAGGGCAGGACCCCCCTTGCCTGAGAGCAGCTTCCCCAACGGCGGGCCCACTGCACATGCGCGCAGTTTAAAAGGGCCCACCAAAAGCAAAAAAGCCCCAGTTAGGCTCTGGAATGGCAAGAGACACGTGGGTGCAAGCCTGCTGTGCCCCCGCTCCCCCAGAGACCCCCCAGCAGCCATGGAGCCCCCTGCCAACCCCCAGCACAGCCGGAGGTAAATGGGGCCCGTGGTGGGATGGGGTTAACTCCTTAGTGAGTGGGAGGTGGCGGCTGAGTTGAACCAGGCTGGGTCTCGCCCCGCCCAGGCCCCTACTTCGCCCAGCCCCCCAGGGATCCACACGAACGGGCTGCACAAAAAGGCACGCTCGTCTGCTGGCACGTGAGCGCAGAATTTGTGCGGGAGGGCCTGTGGCCCTGCCTGCGAGCCCCCTAGGTTAGACAGTCCCAGTCATAGCCAGCCTACCAGAGGCATGACATGGATGGGCATGCACCACACCCCTCCGGTCCCCTTGGGCTCTGCGACCCCACCCCCTGGCACCTCAGAGATGGCCACCGAGATGGAGCCCATGGTTCTGGGCTCCACACAGACAGAGCCTCTGGCTCTCGGCTGCAGGGACTGCCTGTTCTTTTCAGGCTCTGGGGCCTGGGAGCATGGCCACCTCCCCTTGTGAGGTCTGCTCCCTTTAGGGGTCTCTGGCACGCCAGCTGGAGGAGCTTCAGGCCATAGTCTAGAGACTGCATGCCATCAGGGACTGTGAGCAGGAGATTGACTCCTACTGCCAGGCCCTTCTCCCCTGGGAACCGGAGGGTAGACCACGGTCCCCCTCCAAGACAAAGGAGGACTCTGGGACCTCCCACTCAGTCTAGTCAGGGGCATAGACCAAGGTGGTCAAGGGCCCTAAGGCCCACCGCACCAAGGCCCCTGCCCCGCCGGAGTTTAGCAACAGGTACACACCTCTTGCTGCTCTAGCAGAGCCTGCTGAGTTGCCAGCTCCCGCAGGCAACACAGGCTCAACTGCAGCTACCGCCGCCGCTCTCCCCACAACAGAACATAAGGTGTTTGTTGTGGGAGACTCCATCCTGAGGAGGTAATCTGCCGCCCCGACCCCTTAGCCCAGGAAGTCTGCTGCTTCCCGGGGGCCCGCATTCAGTACATTGGAGAGGATTCCCCAAGCTCCTCCAGCCCACAGACCACCATCCCATGCTCCTTATTCATATGGGCACCAATGACATGGCTTGGAGTGTTCCCAATCAGGTCATGAGGAGCTACAGGGATTTGGGAGTGGGGCTAAAGTATCTGAGAGCACAGGTGGTGTTCTCTTCGATCCTCCCAGTCTTGGGGTATGGGCTGAGGAGGGAGGAGGATCCATATAGTGAACCAAAGACTGCGGCACTGGTGTCATCGGGAAGGCTTTGGCTTCCATGACCACAGCCCGCTCTTTGGTGAGAGAGGCAGCAAGCTGCTGGGAAGAGATGGCCTCCACCTCTCTCCATTGGGGAGGAGGCTCTTCTCAGCTAGACTGGCTGACCTGCTCCACCGGGCTTTAA